TTTTATTATGACTGAATGTTATACTTTGTCAAATGCTTTTTCTGCATCCATTGAAATGATCGTGTGGTTTTTATCCTTTCTCTTTTGATGTGATGTATCCTGTTGATTGATTTGTGAATATTGAATCATGCATCCATCTCTGGAATAAATCCCACTTGATTATTTTCAGTGTATTGTTGGATTTGGTTAGCTAATGTTTTGTTGAAGATTTTTGCATCTATGTTCATCAGAGATATTGGCCTGTACTTCTCTTTTTTTGTAGCGTCTTTATTTGGTTTTGGTATCAGACTAATCCTGGCCTCATAGAGTGAATTTGGAAGTTTTCCTTCCTTTTCCATTTTTTGGAATAGTTTGAGAAGAATAGGTATTAACTCTTCCTTAAATGCTTGGTAGCATTCACCTGTGAAGTCATCTGGTCCTGGACTTTTGTTCATTGGGAGGTGTTTTTTGTTTGTTTGTTTGTTTGTTTTCTTTTTCAATTTCATTGTTGGTAATTGGTCTGTTCAAATTTTCTATTTCTTTCTGATTCAGTTTTGGGAGTTTATATTATTCTATTAATTTATCTATTTCTTCTAGCTTGTCTGGTTTTTGACATATAGTTTTTATAATATTCTTTTATAATCCTTTGTATTTCTATGGTGTCATTTTTTATTTCTCCTCTTTCATTTCTGTTTTTGTTCATTTAAGTCCTCTCCTTCCTCCTGCCCTTTTTTTGTGAGTCTGGCTAAAAGTTTATCCGTTTTGTTGATCTTTTCAAGAACCAGCTCCTGGTTTCATTGACCTGTTCTATTGGTTTTTTTGTTTGTTTGTTTGTTTTTTAGTTTCTGTTTCAGTGATTTCAGAACTTACAGGGTTCTGTTTGTTTTTCTTTTTCTAGTTCCCTTAGGTGTAAGATTAGGTTGTGTATTTGAGATTTTTCTTGCTTCTTGAGGTACACCTGTATTGCTCTAAACGTCCCTTTTAGAACAGCTTTTGCTGTATCCCAAAGACTTTGGACCATTTTGTTTTCATTTTCATTTGTCTCCATCTATTTTTTATTTCCTCTTTGGTTTCTTGGTTGACCCATTCATTGTTGAGTAGCATGTTATTTAACCTCCATGTATTTGTGTTCTTTCCAGATTTTTTCTTGTGGTTGATTTCTAGTTTCTAGTTTCATAGTGTTGCGGTCAGAAAAGATACATGGTATGACTTCAATTTCAATCTTTTTGAATTTGTTGAGATTTGTTTTGTGGTCTAATACGTGATCTCTTTTGGAGAATGTTTCATGTGTACTAGAAAAGAATGTATATTCTGCTGTTTTAGGATGGAATTTTCTGAGTATATGTTAGAAAGATCAGGCCAATGTGTGATTCAAAGCCATTGTTTGCTTGTTGGTTTTCTGTTTGGATGATCTGCCCGCTGATGTAAGAGGGTGTTAAAGTCCCCTACTTTTATTATATTACTATCAATTACTTCCTTTATGTGTTTTAGCTGCTTTATGTATTTGGGTATTCCCATGATGAGTGCACAATATTTACAATTTGTTATATCTTCTTGTTGGATTGTTCCCTTTATAATTATATAGTGTTCTTCTTTGTCTCTTGTTACAGTCTTTGTTTTAAAGTCTATTTTGTCTGATATAAGTATTGCTACCTGGCTTTCTTTTCACTGCCATTCGCATGAAAAATGTTTTTCCATTCCTTAACATTCAATCTGCATGTGTGTTTAGGTGTGAAATGAGTCTCTTATCAGCAGCATATAGATGGGTCTTGCTTTTTTATCCATTCCATCACCCTGTGTCTTTTGATTGGAGTGTTTAGTCCATTTGCATTCAAAGTGATTATTGACAGATATGTACTTATTGCCCTTTTCTTACTTGTTTTATGGTTGTTGTTTTAGTTCTTCTCTGTTCCTTTCTTCTCTTGCTCTCTTGTTTTACACTTTGATGGCTTTCTTCAGTGATATACTTGGGTTCCTTTCTCTCTTTCTTTTTTTGTATATCTATTACTGGTTTTTAATTTGTGGTTACCATAAGGTTTGTATATAACATCTTCTGCATATATCAATCTCTATTAAGTGAACTGAAGTTAAATTAAGTGAACTTAAGTGAACCATTCTTTACTTCTCTCCCTTCCACATTTTAGGTAAATGATATCATCTTTACATCCTTTTATTTTGTGAATCCCTTGAATGGTTTTTATAGATATACTTATTTTTACTGCTTTTCTGTTTCCTACTTTTCTTATTCTTGCTTATGGTCTTTCCTTTTCACTCAGAGTCCCCTTTAACATTACTTGTAGAGCTGGTTTCATGGTCATAAATTCCTTTAGCTTTTGTTTGTCTGGGAAACTCTTTATCTCTTCTTCTATTCTGAATCATAGCTTTGCTGAATAGTGTATTCTTGGCTGCTGTTTTTTGTTTGTTTGTTTTGTTTTGTTTTTTTCTTTCAGCACTGATTATATCATTCCATTCCCTTCTGGCTGGCAAACATTCTGCTGAAAAGTCAGCTTATAGCCTTATGGTGTTTCCCTTGTATGTAACTTTTCTTTTCTCTTGCTACTTTTAAAATTCTCTCTTCAGGGGCGCCTGGGTGGCTCAGTTGGTTAAGCGACTGCCTTCAGCTCAGGTCATGATCTTGGAGTCCCTGGATCGAGTCCCGCATTGGGGTCCCTGCTTGTCAGGGAGTCTGCTTCTCCCTCTGACCCTCCCCCCTCTCATGTGCTTTCTCTCTCTCTCATTCTCTCTCTCTCAAATAAATAAATAAAATCTTTAAAAAAATAAATAAAAATTAAAAAAATAAAAAATAAAATTCTCTCTTCATCACTACTTTTTGCCCTTTTAATTACTGTGTCTTGGTGTGGACTTCCTTGAGTTGATTTTGTTGGGGACTCTCTGTGCCTCCTGGATCTAGATTTCTGTTTCCTTCCCCAGATATGGGAAGTTTTCAGCTATTATTTCTTCAAATAAATTTTCTGTTCCCTTTTTCTCTCCCTTTTTTTCCTCCTGGAATCCCTATAATGTGAACATTATTATGTTTGATGGTGTTGCTGAAATCCCTAAGCCTATTTTCATTTTTTATCAATTTTTTCTCTTTCCTCTTCAGCCTGATTGCTTTCCATTACTCTCTCCTGAAGGTCACTGACCCATTCTTCTGCTTCCTCTAGTCTACTATTTATTCCATCTTTTTATTTCATTTACTGAGTTCTTCATCAAGAATTGGTTCTTTTTTCTGTTTTCTCTTTCTTTGTTATGTGTCTCACTAAGATTCGCCACTCTTTTCTCAAGTCTCAAGAGTATCTTTATGACCATTACTTTAAATTCTCTATAAGCATATTACTTATCTCCATTTCATTTAAGTCTCTTGCTTTGATTTTGTCCTGTTGCTTTTTTGGGGACATATTCCTCTGTCTCATTTTGTCTAACTCTCTGTGTCTGTTTCTGTATGTTTGGAAAGTTAACGACTTCTCCTCTTGAAAGTAGTGGCCTTATGTAGAAGAGGTCCTATAGTGCCCTGCAGTGCAGTGTCTTCTGTTCACTAGAATCTGGAGCTTCATGGGCATCTCCTATGTGTTTTGCATGTGCCCTGCTGTTGTGGCTGAACCACTTTTGCCTCAGTCCCATCATCTGCAATGGTTCTCTTACCTGTTGTGGGCAGGGTTTGGTCCTGTGTTGATAGTGGGCCAGGCTGGGGCCACCTTGGACTTAAGTTGATTCAGACCAAGCACTTGCCAGAGATGCAGCAGCACTGAGCTGCAGGAGAATGTGGGTGCGGGGCATGTGGTGCCAGCAAGTTTCATGCTGGTGGGAGGGAACCTGCAGCTGCTGGGGACCAACGCAGGCTGGGTTGGACAGGGTGCATCTACAGAAGTGTACAGGTGGAATGCCTTGTGTCAGCAAGGTTTGTGTGGTTCTGCTATGGGAGGGGACCTGGAGTGAAGGCCTGGCTGGAGGAGAATGCATGGCTGTGGTGTGCTGTTAGCAAGTTGGGTAATGAGTATTGTCCTGGAGCTGTTTCCTGAAGGTGGGTGTATATTTAGGTGGGGCAGGGGAGGGAAATGGAGCCTTTCAGCTCCTTTGTTCCTGGAGAAGTCTTCCAGTTATCCCTACCCCTCCAGCACAAGCTCTGAGATTATTATACAAATTTTTCTCCCTCCCATGTATCCCAGGCATTTTTCAGACTGCTACTTCTATGCTGTATCTCCATGGGGCTGTTTGTTGAGTTATCTCTTTAAGGGCAGGAACTCAGTTTCCTCTCACCCTCCTGGCTCTCCTGCTTATTTAAAGTTCCAGGTTTTAAGGCTGCTGATGGTAAGAACTCACAAAATTTGGCTCCTCTCGTTTTCAAAACCAAATATTATGGGGATTCATCTTCCCTGTGTGTGCTCCCTGGTATGACAGTCTGTTTCTCCCTCCCTTCTTTGACTGCAGCTCCCCCCACCCTCCCACCTGCCTCTCCACCCTTCCTATCCTCTTTAATGTGGCCTCTTCTCTACATTTAGCTGTGGAGAGTTTGTTCTGCCAGTCTTTGGGTCATTTTCTTGGCTGTTTACATTGATGTGGGTGTTAGCTAGTTGTATTCAAGTGACAAGGTGAGCTTAGTGTCCTCCTACTCCACCATCTTTCCTGGAAGTTAGAAAAATGGATATTTTGAAATGTTTATAATCTCCAGTCTCTGATCACATCTTGCTGAATCATCTCACTTGTTTATCACCTGCAAAAGTATTTTTTTATTTTTACTTCAATTAAAAACCCAAATTAGTACAAACTTTTCCCAATGTGTTCAATTTTGTGTTTTGAGTACTAGAAAAGGTAAGTCTGTCATGCCTGCCAAAGTGTATACACTCATTAGTTTTTGCATACTGGACGTTTATCCATCTGAGTGTCAGATACACAAAATTTACAGTTTTGTAATGCTACTTTAGAGTTGACTCTGCAATTTTAAATAAATTTGTTTGATGAAAATATGTAGATTAATAGTAATGAAGATTCTGATGTTTGTTCTGTTCTTTTGACCATCACAGATCAAAGAACACCTTGCTAAGGGGCAACGAATGTTGGCAGGTGATGGAATGTCCCAGGTGACCAAGACACTGTTGGATTTAACTCAGAGGAAAAATTTCTATGCAGGTGATCTTCTGATGTCTGTGGAAATTCTCAGAAATGTGACAGACACGTTTAAAAGGGCAAGTTACATCCCTGCATCTGATGGTGTCCAGGTAAGAGAGATAATCCCCTGAATGAAAAGACTAGTTAAGATGCATTCGGGTTTTGGCCCTGAGAAGCCAGTGCTGCAGCCATTTGGAGGCATTCTGGCCTGGAGGGAAAGAGCACTTATTCCTCCAGGGGACATATTCAGGTTGTGCTTAGTGTGAGCTCTGGAAATGACCTCAATTCCCTTAGTCATTGTACACCTCAGTGTCCTCAACCATAAAATGCACATAACACACCTCAAGGAGATACTGAATGAGAATGTGTGTAAAGTGTTTTGAGCCCTCAGATAAAAGGCACTATAGCAAATTCAAGGTTGTATTATGGATATTTTATTCCCACATTTAATATCACCATCTTGCCATAAGAGACTATTAAAAGTACATTAAGCATAATGAAAGCACATTAACTATAACATGCAAAGAAGATATAGTTTAAGTTTTGTTGGGGTTTTGCTATCAGAAGGGGGAAGGCCATATTTAATTTTGTGGAACCATTGCCTGAAAATATTGGGCAAATAGAGAATTGTTCTGGATAGGAAAAAAAGAAATTCAATAACTCCTCACAGTATGTTTTTCTTGTCATGGAAGACTTCTAGAGCAACATTGTTTATTTCTATACCAAAGTTTAAGTACTCACCCAATTTCAGTATTGCCTTTGCCATTAAAGCAAAGCTTGTTGCATGGCAAACAAAGCACATTTAATGCAACTCCTGCTTGCATTTCAGATTACCTCCTTTTGTGCTGTAGGCTAAAATGTACTCCTGCCAAGAATGCTGAGTTGATTTCTGCACTTCCAGCATAATGCTCTTCCTGTATCTCCCCATAAAGTTCATTAAAATAAGGTTTTGGCAAAACTCCCAGATCAGGTAGTTTTCTTTCAGCCTACTCTTCATTTGGGAGTTTTATTTACATTTCACTTGGAGAATGCAGAGGGGTTTTGTTTTGTTTTGCTTTGTTTTGTTTTAATCAGCTATTGAGGGAAAGAAGAAAAGAAGACTTTGAAATCATGGAATCATTCATAAATAATATTGATGCCCTGATTTGTATAGAGGTACATATGTTACTTAAATTATATGCATATACTGCTGAAAGTAACTGAAATGAGAATTATTGGTGCTGCATTTTATATTATATCACCAGTGTCCAAGAATACAGTTTTAATTGTAAAAATATGTGGGATGGAAGATTACTGTCATTTAAGCATTTCAAGAATTCTTTTTTACAAAGAATGAAACGGTTTTCCAGTTTTAAAAACTTGATAAAGTAAGCCAAGCCGATATTTTCCCCGTAGTTCTGAAATACTTCTGTCCATTAGAATTTACATTAAAAAATAACATCTTAAGTCCCTGATGCAAAATACAAGTTGTAATTTCAAAAAAACCTTAGATACTTATGTTCACAGTTGAAACATCAGGTAGAATGATGAACTACATAATCTCTAGGACCTCCTTTAACCCTCAAGAGTGTAGAGCTTTAAGATTTTTAGATGGTGAAACTGAAGAAATTAAGATTACCAGGTTATATTGGGAACATATTTTGATTGAGTTACTCATTAGAGTGCATTGACTCAATGAACAATTCATTTAACCAAAGGCTTAGTCATGAGGACATTAGCTGGTTTGACTTAAATAGAGCAGTTTGGCTGATTATTTTGTTGTCATTTTGACATAGTCAGAAATTTCCATCCCACTCTCTTATTAATCCTCCACACTACACAAAATTCTCAGCATGTTGGTGTCCTAGTCATCCCTTCACAAGTAAGAGCGATTTTTTTCTATTTCATTGTCTTTACTGGTATCTTTTCAGGCCCCTGGAATGCCCTCCTCTTTTGGAATTCCTTCTTCCATCTCTGTCTGTCAAAATCTTTAGCCTGGACCTAGCAAGACTTTCTGAATGCCAAGCCAGCAAGCCCAAACTCCATCTAAAAATGATCTTTCTCTTTTCTGAAATCCCAGATAACTTTGCACCTCTTTTATTCTACTTTCCACCACTTTATAGAAACATTTTATATATATTTATCATCTTTACTTGATTATAAACTCTGGTTTGTAACCTTACTCAACATTGCCTGTACCTCACTTAAAATTCATTCCTCTATTTCCAAGGGCTCTGGGCATTTCTGATTGGCTAGCACGTCAGGATTAATATGGGGATAAACTAAGCTTATCTTGAATTGCAAATTTTCTTCCCTTTGTAGAACTAACTCTAGGGGTCCTTAGGCTGGAATTATAATGTTATCTTGACTTTTCCTTCTTTTCCTTTTTTATAGGCTATGCCTACACAGTATCTTTTCTATCCATTCTTTCCTCTCTTTTCCCACTGCTGTTATCCTAATTTAGCCTTTAATTGCCTCAGCCTACATTATTTCCATGGCCTCTTTCCTTTAATCCTCCCTCAGATCTTTACCTAAATCTCTTTCATCTTGTACATCATGGTCCTATTACTTATCTTAGGACAGCTCTGATTATGTCACTTCTTAGATCAGAAACCTTCACTGGAGCTCCAAGCCCCCTGAATGACAGCCCAAAGTCTTTATGTTGTCTTCTAGTACACTCCACAGTATGTAGGTTACCTACCTTTACAGCCAAATGCATGTTAGTCCTCCTCTTCACAGACTTGTGTCAAATGAATTACTTACTGCTTCTTTTTTTTTTAATTAATTTATTTCTTTTAGAGTAAGGGGAGGGGCAGAGGGAGAGAATCTTTCAAGCAGATTCTCTGCTGAGCACAGAGCCCGACATGGGGCTTGATCCCACAACCCATGAGATCATGGCCTGAGCCAAAACAAAGAATTAGACACTTAATCCACTGAACCACATAAGCACCTCACCACTTCCTGCTTCTTGAACACTGTATGTTCTTAGCTCTTGGTCTTTTCCTCCTCTGTGCTCTTATACTGGCTTGGTCCCTCCCAGTCTTCAAAGGTAATTTCTTGGTACCCTGGGCCTCTGAATGCTAATAGCACTTTCTCTCCTGCATCTCTTTATATCTTGTATTATTATCACTCATTAGTAAATCTTGAAAAAGAAGACATTTTCCTGATCCATCTTTGCATCCCAGCCAACCTCCAGGACACCCTCGTTCTCAAACAAGATTTAACATAGAATCTTAACAACAAAATTAATAATTTCATAGGTACCACTAAGATTTTTTCATTCTTTTTTTTTAAACTGGGAAGTGAACAAAGAAAGATTAAGCAAAATTGTTTAAAAAGAATGCATTCTTTTCAATGTAGTTATGTGCAATGCATTTTAGTTAAAATGCCTACTAATGCTGGATTCACTAAAAGACTGATTTGATGCATTGATGAAAGTGAGCTATACAACCTATTAAAGTTGGGGAGAAAATAAAGTGTAGTTGTGTGTCTTGGAATGATAAAGCATAGTAATAGTTTTATTTTTGGAAACTGTAGAAAAGATATTCCAAAAGTCTTTTCCCTTCTGATACATCCTTTTCCAAATCCTGGGGCTTTGTCGTATCTCTATAAGTTTCTTTCTATTAGTTCTCTATGTAGTTTATCCTTCCTGTTTCCAATCTGATGCAAGTTCCTTCCAGATCCAGCTCAAAATCCCTTCTACTCAAAAGTCTTCTCATCAAATCCCAAGCAGAATTTAATTTTTTCCTAATCGTCTGGCCTTTTGAAACCTTGTAAATATCTCTACTTCTAGCATATTTCTTACCTAGCATTGTAACATCTCTCATAATATTCCAATTATTTGTTTCTAGGTCTGTTTTCAGCAATTAATTTTAAACTTGTTGAGAGATGATTATGTCTTGAAGCATAGTAGACACTCCAATATTTGTTGAAGTAATTAATAAATGAATATGAATAACATAGTAATTTGGGGGAAATTTACATTGTTCACACACACACACACACACACACACACACATAAAACTCTGAACATCCAATTTAGAGAGAGAAAGGGAAAGAGAGGAAAACGCATCCATTTACCTTTTTTCACCCCTGGGAAAATTTATAGTGAGACTCATTCTATCAATAGAAGATTGAATTTGCAACACACACACTAAAACTTTAAGACTTGACAGAATTAAATCAGACGCATGCAAGTTGAAATTCCATCTTGTCTAATAACTGTCTTGGTGTATTCAAACATATTACTTAATATTTCTATATCTTATTTCTTCATATCTAAATAAATAAAGAAGACATAGTAGTATGGTCTATTCTCATTATTCATGGTAGTTATATTATGTAAAGTTGCAGCAAACACTAAATGAATGAATACTGAACCATTTATTCCTAGGGAAAATACAGGATGAGGTTCCTTTGAGAATCTGTTCATACCATTTTCATGAACCAATTAATATATGACCTTGTTTTATGTGTGTTACTGTTAAAAGACATTGTTTTTAAGATATATGGTTAATCATTAACATTGAACTCACGGCCAAGACACTGTAACTCATGCCAGAAAAAGTTTTCCTAATACATATGTTTTCTCTCTAAGGCACATGACAGTCTTTTTGAGTTAAAGAATACTAGATAGTCCTTTAGCACTGTGCTGTGGGACATTTTAAACAGTGAAATCATCAATAAAAAGAACACACAATAAAAGGAAAAAACCAAATAAAAAACAACCTGGGCATTAAAATGGCCATGAAAAGGAACTTGTTTACAGTATATGAACTGAAACAAAAAGAGCATTGCCGTGTTTGGCCTCAGCTGGGTACATGTGCATTGGGTGATTCAGATGTTTTCCATTCTGCACATGTCCATGAATGACCAATGTGCCAATGCACGTATGTACTTTGGTATCTCTCCTACAAAGAGAGGAAGGTCAGATGTTCCTCAGGGCACCATCTAGGGAAGTATGGGCACTTTTTTTTTTTTTTAATCACTTATTACAGAGAAGGGTAGAGAATGTGTCAAGGAAAGTAGGAGTCCGAAAAGAAGCATTAGTCCTTAAGGTCAACACTGCAAGGCCATTTTAAAGATAGAGAGCAAGTGGATGTAGAGAATGGCTTACATCAATAACCAGGAT